TTGCTTGTTTTATATTTTGTTGTGTTTCTAATAGTTCTGCTGAACCACAATACAAAATCAATGTCATGATTTTATCAATTTTTTACTTATTACTACTGTTATCAAATTCAAGTGAGTTTCAAATGAGAGCCTTATTGTTTTATAATTATCCATCTATCATCCATCCATCTACTCCTGCATAGTCCTTGTCAGGGTCATGGTGGGGCCACAGCCTTTCTCCAGTTCTCAAATCATATAACACTATATGATTTGACTGAAGAGAAGTAGAATTTACTCCAAGTGAGGTGGGTGAGGTGGCACTGTAGTTATTGATAGTGGAGGATGCTGTAATATTTCTTAACGTCTCACAAATTGGTGGCTCTTAATGTTTACAGTCTTTTATTTACTTTTTCAGTGTTATACCATCCCCTTCTGTGGTTTGCAGGTACAAGTTGGTTTCTGTCTGAGAAAGTTTGAGACGGAAAGTTGCGTATTTTGCTGTAAATAAAGAAATTAAGATATCATAATAATTAAGAGAGAGCTGGGCCGCACACAACATCATTATGACTTTTGAATAGGCTAGGCAGTGCATCTATCTTTTCTCCCTTCCCTGCCACAAATTATAGTGACTCTAAACTTGTCTAGCAATGCATTTCAGATATTTTTATTAGTATTCTTCCTATCTAAAACGAACATTTCAGATATCTGAAATGTAAATACAAGCACAAATTCCTTCATTTTCCACACTGTTGAGTATTGGGCTGGTATTTTAGAGATATCTGAAACAATATCACTCCTATATTTCAGATATCTAGAATCATCGACTAAAAATAGCCAAACTTACGAAGTTTAAGGCGTTTAAGACATTACGTTTTATGAGTTGAGCTTCCTCTCTGTGGATTTGAAAGCAGTATCGGTGCCTGTGACAATTTAATTGACAGAATCAAAAGAAAAGGAAATTAGTTTGTCCCCAGCAAGGGGTTTTGTGGCGACAGAGAACGTCTTGCACGAGAAACTTCCCCAAAAAGTATGTCAAATGCAGAAGTTCAGAGTCCAGTCCAGAGAGTAAAATATTCCGACGATGTTGGACGATGGAAGCGGGAATTATGACTTCCTGGTTTGAGGTGCTCAAAAATGTCTGACTCAAGCCAAACCAAACGTTGCATCAATAATCAGTAACATAAAAACTCTAATTTCTAATTTAGATAGGAAGAACAGTAATTACGGATATCCACAACCAAATTGTTCCTAGTAAAACTGCAGCTGTAAATCCATCCATCCATCCATCCATCCATCCATCCATCCATCCATCCATCCATCCATCCATCCATCCATCCATCCATCCATCCATCCATCCATCCATCCATCCATTATCTGACACACTCGTCCCAATCGGGGTAGTAGAAATATATATTTGAGGTGAAGAATTGGATTTCTGGATATCTAGAATGTTATATTCATTTTTGATATCTGAAATTGTCATTACAACAAGTCGTAACTGTATTATGGAGATCTGATATTAGATCATCCTCGGCAGAATTCAGTTTAAGGTATCCAAAATGTTTGAAAAACATGACATCACAATTACATTTAAGATATATGAAATGTTTATTTTAGATAGAAAGAATGTTATTTTAGATATCTGACATGTTAACTATGACTAGGAAGAAATCCATTTAAGACACTTGGATTACATATTCAGTCAAGCTAAAAAATGTCAAAACGGTCTTTTATTGTTGGCTCTGTAAATACAAAACACCTTTTTTGGGAGACCTAGATTATTGTCCTACAGTCAGTTCCAGTGTAATCTATTTTTAGTTTATATATCACAAGGCAGAATATAAATAAAAAATACAGAGGACATGACTTGGTGTCCTCAATGGTAATTACGGCTCTGTAAATTTTACATTTTATTTTTTAATTAACACCTATCTCAAAATGTACTTTTTATCTGGACTAAATAAAAAATTTTGAGCTTCTTGCATTTGGTTTCAACTAACTAACCATTAGTTGCCATTTAACACAGCTATATCCTTTCCTGGTAATAATATGTGAGATTCTCAAATAAATAAAGGTGGTCATAAAGTAATTTCTATCCACAACTTATCTTTTAAAAAGAGCAAACTGCCGGGGAGTGGCGGCCTAGGGGTTAGGGCATAGACAATTGTGCATAGAGCTTGGAATCCTGAGGTTCTGGGTCCAAGCCCCACTCCCACTTCCAAGGCCATTCTTAACCCCAAACTACTCCCTGGGCACTGCACAATGGCAGCCCACTGCTCCCTAAGGGGATGAGTTAAATGCGGAGAGTTCATTTTATTGCTTTGTACTTGTGACAGTGTAATGACTATATTAGCTGGAAGAGAAAAACCAAGAAAAAAAACCAACAACACATGAAACCTATATGAAATAAATTGGAACATCAAATCATGACTATTCACGGGGGTTGGGGGGTTACCATTAGACAATATTAGGCTCAAGTTCTTGGGGGCCCCAAAAAAATCTGTTTACATGTATGTTGAATACAACTATTCCTTATTTGTGCACATTAACTATGTTTTTGATTTAAAAAATGTTCTCTAAAATGCCATCAGAACGCTTATAATATTAGGTGTGTCTCAGGCCCTTCAGGGTCCACCACATTGGATTAGTCCATTTGCTACACATGTTCAGTAAGGTCTCCCCTTTCTTCCCCAATGTGGCTCTCCTATATCTCCACAGAGACAAAGGCAGCGCTATTAGGGAACCACCTGAGACCTGGGAAGCCAGGTAACTGGTGGGAAGCCATTAGAATGCACCGTTCTGCCGAATGACAGCGTTCTGTGGCATGCAAGGCCTCAGTCAATCCATTCCCCCCTCTTAGTCCCCCCACCCAAGTGTATGTGACGTATTGTGATGAACGGCTGTACTGAAACTGAAATTTTTATTACAATGTAAACTGTAGTTGACAATAAAGAAGTTTTGATTGATTTATTGATTGAAACAGGCAGCAGCAAACCGTTTAAAACCAAAGATGCAAAGAGCAGTGTTGCAAACTTAGAGCTTTTGTTGCTGTATTTTGCGATTTTTCAAACCCCTCTAGTAATTTTATTTATATTTTAGCCAAATTTAGCAACTTTTTTCTGCTACTGGAGATTTCCACGGCAACATATAAAAGCACCGAACTCTGCTCTCCGGAGCAAGTAGATTTGTAACCCCGCCTCCTGCTCTCCTCTCTCTTTGTCTGCTGTCATGATCCATGCAGCTATTATTTCATACAAATGAAAAGTGGAGAACAGATCAGCAGATTATAGCTTGTCTACAGTGAAGAGAAGGACTGTGTTATTTACACTTGCCATCACCTTTTTGGAAACAGGAAGGAGAAATCGGCTAAGTGAGCTTAGTGACTGCAAAAAATCTTTCATTCCTTTTAAGACAGCATGAAAAGTCAACTGAGAACAAAACATGGAGAGGAAACCAACAAAAAAAAGGGACAAAAAGAGAGGGACAAAACGTAGAACAAATTATGTATGTCTATTTTATTCAAATTTCTGTATCTGTACAATGGGTCTGTTTTATGTTTTGTCTTCTCAATTCAGAAGGCCCCCTGCGTGTCTTTGCCTAGGACCCCTAATTTCCTAGATCCGCCCCTGACTAGTCATATAGTAGTTATCCAAATATATCAATTACAAGTTAAGTGGATGAACAGAATTCAGTATAAAAAGCTGCACAAGCAGGACAGAAGAATTAGCCTTAAGACGGCTTTGAGCTAAGGCCATTTAAGCTTTTACAATGTGTGAACAGTGGCTGGAGTCATAGGGCCACGTATCAAGATACAATCAAGAACTAAACACAACGACTAAAGCTATTACATTCTTTGGCTTAAGCCTCTGTTGAACAGGAGACAATGTCAGAGGAGTCTTATCATTAGAAAAAACAGTGGACTATGCACATGGGTACAAAGTTCTCTTTGTCTATTAAAGTTTTATTTTCTTTATTGTGTCACCTAAAGGTTACAGTCCCAGTTTGTACGGGGATGGTTATGTTTTCTTAGTTACTAATGATGTTAGAGTCATATCCAAAGTAAATTAATTTTAAGTAATCACAGCAATCTTCTAGAATTTTTATCCTTCTGTCTGCTTACAAGCTTCATTGTGATGCTGAACTAACTTTAGTGGCAAAGGTACCAACAGCTACTTTATTGACTCTCATTTTTTGTTTGTGTGTTTTTGTGTATTTTGTTGAGAGGGGTGTGAGATACACCAAACCAAACAATGCAAATGAGCCAAAGCGGCTTGAGCTTCTTGGACACAAGCATATCAAGGGTAATCACGAATTTGATGGAGTGGGCTTATTGAGATACACTGAATAAATTAACATACTATACCATAGGTATACTTTTGTGCAGAAGTGTAAAAAAAAAAAAAAAAAAAGGGGGTTGGGTTATGTAATATATATATTTTTTTAAACTAGGATGTTATTAGTCCTAAATTATACGCTTAATTTTTTTTTTTTTTTTTTTTACATTTTATTATATTAAACATACTGTAGATGTTAAGTATCCACTGGGATAATGCTGGCATAATTACATTTAATTGTGTATGAATATGCAGTGTCCCTTTTAGATAAAAAAATCATTCAAATACATTACTCTATACACAATTAAAGTAAATGTTGAATAGGTTACAGAAATAAATTGTGTTCCAATTTATTAAAGTGGTTTAAATTATTTGGGTTCAGTAAAGATGTGTTTATTTGTAACATTGTTTTTTTTCTCTTACGGTAACACTAAACAGGAAAGCAGATAAGAACATGAAAATCATTGCTGAGGTTCGCTCCATCTGTTCTGTTCATAATGTAAGAGTCGCTTCACGTGAATTCGCTTTCCTGAGAAAAAAAAAAATGAGAGCACGCTAAGCTACGTCATTCAAATCAAGACCGCATTGGCAAAAATCCGTGTGACGACGAAGGCTCGGCCAATGAGTCACTGTTCGAGTTCCCGTGCATTATCGCGATCTATCTGGTTAGATAAATCCTCTACGCGGCTTCTCAATCGGCCATTTCGTCTGAGCAAGGCCATCAGCCAGCTAGGGCAGCGGGGAATCTGTGTGATACTGGTAACCTGAAAGGCACATTAAAAACATCGCAACATGAGTGAAACAGCTATCTCATTCGCCAAGGACTTCTTGGCTGGCGGCATCTCCGCAGCCATTTCCAAAACAGCCGTCGCCCCAATCGAGAGAGTGAAGCTTCTCCTTCAGGTAAGAAAAAAAAATCATCTTCCGGGATGCTAGCTGCTTAGCTTGTTTCGCTCTACCGAATAACTCTGATGTGACAAGTCTTTTCATTGCTCATCCACACGCTTCCCTAGACATTCACTAGTATTTCTAATCTTTTCATTTAAAAAAATCGGGCCGTTTCAGTGTTAGCGGTTCTAAGGTCACGACTAAACTGGCAATGACCTACACGAGCCCGGCTGCTAGCGTTAGCGCTACGCCTTAACCTTAGCCGGCTGTTAGCACTAGCTAACAAAGGACAAAAGCTCGTAGCGGCTTTGGTACAGTTTGTACAAACCCCTCACACACTTGGACTTTTTAATTTTTCGGTTATATTTTAGCTGCAGTGACAATATTATAACGAGTCGGGCTTTTTAATACAAAAAGTTGCGGCGGGTAGCGTCATAGTTGGTGAAAGTATCAAGGCCCATAAGCTGCGATTAAAGCCGGGTCAACTTGTTTCCATCCGCTCCGGTTGGTTCTACAACGTGACAGGAAGTTAAAACTGAAATCACATCGACCTTTGAGGTCACCCTTTCCTTTTTAAATTGATGGATTTTTAAGCCAGTCCGAGATCAATCAATGCAGTAATTATCAGTGATTGCACGGGGACACTGATTAGAGGTAGCAACTGAAGGAACCATGAACTTTTCTCCCAACTTAAACTTCGTGTACAAGGTCACAATGTAACAATCATGTGACTGCTATTTGTTCAGCTGTTAATTATTTAATGTTTCTCTCCTTTCAGGTCCAGCATGCCAGCAAACAGATTGCTGTCGACCAGCAGTATAAAGGCATCGTTGACTGCGTTGTCCGCATCCCCAAGGAGCAGGGCTTCCTTTCCTTCTGGAGAGGCAACCTTGCCAATGTCATCAGATATTTCCCCACCCAGGCCCTCAACTTTGCCTTTAAAGACAAGTACAAGAAGATCTTCCTCGATGGCGTCGACAAGCGCACGCAGTTTTGGAGGTACTTCGCTGGTAACCTTGCCTCCGGAGGTGCTGCTGGAGCCACCTCCCTCTGCTTTGTGTACCCCCTCGACTTTGCCCGTACCCGTCTGGCAGCAGATGTGGGAAAAGCAGGAGCCGAGAGAGAATTCAAGGGCCTGGGTGACTGTCTGGTTAAGATCTCAAAATTAGATGGTGTTAAGGGCTTGTACCAGGGCTTTAACGTGTCTGTGCAGGGCATCATCATCTACAGGGCTGCATACTTTGGCATCTATGACACAGCAAAGGGTATGTTGACTACATATTGGATGTCTACAGTCAACCTTACCATGTGGGTTTTTTAACACTTTTCTGCTCTTGCATTTACAGGTATGCTTCCAGATCCTAAGAATACCCATATATTGGTGAGCTGGATGATCGCACAGACTGTAACGGCTGTCGCTGGCCTGACTTCATATCCATTCGATACTGTTCGTAGACGTATGATGATGCAGTCTGGACGCAAAGGAGGTAAGTCTGTAAGGTTAGCCTGGTTGTCATATTTATGTATAGATGTTAGATTGTTTATGTAACCTCTCCCTTTTTTCCCCTGCCTCAGCTGACATCATGTACAGTGGTACCATCGACTGCTGGCGCAAGATTTTGCGCGATGAGGGTGGAAAAGCTTTCTTCAAGGGAGCCTGGTCCAACGTGCTCAGAGGCATGGGTGGCGCCTTCGTGCTGGTGTTGTACGATGAGCTGAAGAAAGTCATCTAAATCTTCATGTTGTCACGTCACTGTCCAATTTGGCTAAATGTATTAACTTACCATTTCTATGGACATTGCATTCTGCCTTATTTATGGGAACAACTAGCATCTCACGAAGTAGCTGTGAGAGGTGGCTGTATGTTGTGCATCTTTGATTTTAAAATGTTCCGCACCCACTTTACCAATGTCATTCCAGATATAAAAAGAAAAATATGAATACCTACTTGTGTCATTCACTAGGTTTGTATGGTCCCAACTTGAATAAATCTATCCTGGGGAACAACCTTTAAGATTGATGTTAACTGTCCCCTTCACTGTCATAGCATGAGATGAACACTCACAGGATAATGAAAGGCACAGAGTGGATTACAACCAATTGCTATATATACTTGCGCTTATCTCTCTTGAGCCTCCAGAGTAGAACACCAGCGCTTGTTCTCCTTTGCATAGCACAGACTTCTTTGAACCTTTTAAGATGTTGGATAATTTTTTTCCCAATTAAAGCACCTATTTCATAGGAATACATACATTTTAGTTTAAATGCTCTTTTAAAACCCTACCTTCAATCTACAGTATTAAGGGGCGCATTTCCTCCTTTAAATCTTCAAAGGTCTTAATTTGAAAACAGCTTTCATGTTTACACAGTGGTGGGTAGTAAGTTGCTAATGTTTTTTTTTCCAGGGTTAAATTAAAGCCCTCTTCATTCTACAGGGAAGTAAAAGCTTATGGGTTTTGTTAAATGCATTTCAAATTTAAGCATAAGGCATTATTGGCAGGTTATGGTTAAACATGGAAAGATGGTTGGTTGTAGTTTAGCCTGATGGGCAGCAGGTGGCGCCAGTGGTAAGGGGGGGGGGAAACTTCTGTTGAAGCTCAGACAGGCTTACAAACAGCATTTTAAGTTTTTCATATTTTGAAGGGGGTAACGCTGTAAAATGAAAAATTGCAGGAAAGTTATGTCTTGCGCACCCATCAAATGACCGCATGCTTCTCAGGATGGTTGAAAGTTTAATGGTTGGCAGAACTGCTAATATAGACAAAACAGAACCATTTACGTTTGTGATGTAAATAAAATTATCTTAAATCCTTTTCCCGAGTCACTTCTGTTTTCAAACAGAATTTTGCCAAAAAGGTGCAACATATTGATGAAAATGTATATTCAACAAGTGTAAAGTCAGACTGCAATATTATCTGTGGTTAGAGCAGTGCGCTTGTGCTTTGAGAAGGTTGCAAGTACCTGGTTGGATCCACACAGCCTAAGCTTAGGGTTGCTGAACAAAACCTTTAACCCCCACACTGCTCCCTGGGTGCTGCACAATGGCAGCCCGCTGCTCCCCAAAGGGATGGGTCAAAATGCAGAGAATTTCCCATTGTGGGACAAAGGAAATTACATTAAATGCTTATATTGCCAACCCACTCAGGAGGATGACTGCTGATGCTACATTTGTCCAGCAGAGGGCAATTGAAGCAAGGAAATAAAGCAAAAAAAATTCAAAGTAGCTGGCCATGGATACTATAGTAGAAAATATTACAGAAATCATGAAAACTGAAATTTTCAGGACAAAGGTCAAGCTAACCAACAATTTGAGAGATTTAGATTATATTAAACGCTTAAAACGGATAGGGACACTGAATCAAAATGCCAGAAGAGATGCTCTAAATTTTGAATTTAGTCAAGATAAAATGTAAATTTTATGATGGGTGTTAACTTTTAAACAACTTTATAGTCTTTACAGGAAAAAGCAGCTGTTATGACATGTAGAAAGAAGTTTTCCTTTTTTTTATGTGCATAAAGCAATATTGTGCACATACAATTTTTATCCTCCCATCAGACTCTTAGGTATCACCACTAAGAGCAAAAAAGGGAAGGGAGTCTTAATGTGATTTTCCTCATATGAATGAATGATTTTTGTCCGAAAGAGAATTGATCCCACTTTAAAAAAAAATAATTGTATCTGAAGTCTCCTGAGGAAGCAATCTGATGTGGGGTTGCAGGGATTCAGCACAACTCTTCCCAATAAAATATCAATCATAAATGCTCACACTTAACTCTGCAATAAAGTATGTATGCAGTTTTATTTTCCATGTGATTGCACTTTACAGTTCCATGTTTCAGTCAATACTGATGTGTGTTGGCAACATTCAACTTGTTGACTGTCATCAGCCTATCAGGAAACATACAGGTGCTGGTCATAAAATTAGAATATCATGAAAAAGTAGATTGATTTCAGTAATTCCATTTAAAAAGTGAAACTTGTATATTATATTCATACATTACATACAAACTCATATATTTCAGATGTTTATTTTGTTTAATTTTGATGATTACAAATGACAACAAATGAAAATCTCAAATTCATCATATCAGAAAATTAGAATATTGTGAAAAGGTTCAAAATTGATGGCCCCTGGTGCCACACTCTAATCAGCTAATTAACTCAAACCACCTGCAAAAGCCTTTAAATGGTCTTTCAGTCTAGTTCTATAGGCTACACAATCATGGGGAAGACTGCTGACTTGACAGTTGTCCAAAAGACGACCATCGACACCTTGCACAAGGAGGGCAAGACACAAAAGGTCATCGCTAAAGAGGCTGGCTGTTCACAGAGCTCAGTGTCCAAGCACATTAATAGAGAGGCGAAGGGAAGGAAAAGATGTGGTCGAAAAAAGTGTACAAGCAAGAGAGATAACCGCACCCTGGAGAGGATTGTGAAACAAAACCCATTCAAAAATGTGGGGGAGATTCACAAAGAGTGGACTGCAGCTGGAGTGAGTGCTTCAAGAACCACCACACACAGACGTATGAAAGACATGGGTTTCTGCTGTCGCATTCCTTGTGTCAAGCCACTCTTGAACCACAGACAGCGTCAGAAGCGTCTTGCCTGGGCTAAAGAGAAACAGGACTGGACTGCTGGTGAGTGGTCCAAAGTCATGTTCTCTGATGAAAGTAAATTTTGCATTTCCTTTGGAAATCAAGGTCCCAGAGTCTGGAGGAAAAGAAGAGAGGCACTTCATCCACGTTGCTTGAAGTCCAGTGTAAAGTTTCCACAGTCAGTGATGGTTTGGGGTGCCATGTCATCTGCTGGTGTTGGTCCATTGTGTTTTCTGAGGTCCAGGGTCAACGCAGCCACATACCAGGAAGTTTTAGAGCACTTCATGCTTCCTGCAGCTGACCAACTTTTTGGAGATGCAGATTTCATTTTCCAACAGGACTTGGCACCTGCACACAGTGCCAAAGCTACCAGTACCTGGTTGAAGGACCATGGTATCCCTGTTCTTAATTGGCCAGCAAACTCTCCTGACCTTAACCCCATAGAAAATCTATGGGGTATTGTGAAGAAGAAGATGCAATACACCAGACCCAACAATTCAGAAGAGATAAAAGCCACTATTAGAGCAACCTGGGCTATCATAACACCTGAGCAGTGCCACAGACTGATCGACTCCATGCCACGCCGCATTGCTGCAGTAATACAGGCCAAAGGAGGCCCAACTAAATACTGAGTGCTGTACATGCTCATACTTTTCATGTTCATACTTTTCAGTTGGCCAACATTTCTATAAATCCTTTGTTTTTATTGGTCTTCAGTAATATTCTAATTTTCTGATATGATGAATTTGAGATTTTCATTTGTTGTCATTTGTAATCATCAAAATTAAACAAAATAAACATCTGAAATATATGAGTTTGTATGTAATGTATGAATATAATATACAAGTTTCACTTTTTAAATGGAATTACTGAAATCAATCTACTTTTTCATGATATTCTAATTTTATGACCAGCACCTGTAATATCATCTACAGATGGCAGCATTTATCCTGCTTCCTTTACGAAGGCCATCTGTACAGCTTTAGTCTGTTAATAGATAAAGGCTAATATTCATATTGTTTAGGTCAATCATGAAGCACATTCTTTCACCAGTTTGACCACTTCAGAGCACAGAAGAAAACATTTTTTTGTCCTCCTAGAGAGAATCCCTAACGGCCTATCAGCAGCCCTGTGTTTCACTGCGTAGCCTCACTCCCACTCTGTGGTTTGTATCTGTGTAAAGCCTGTATATCGGCTGTATCAGTCTCCTCCCACAGTCCAAACACTAGAGTCTGCACGGTTGAAGTTCACGTAGGTGTGAAGTGAAGAATGAGTGTTTGTTAGTCATCGGATTGTAACTGGCTGGCAGCTCTTCCTGGGTGTTTCCTGTATTCTGGCATGCATTCCAGGCTGCAGTTTAACTGTAATTGGCATCTGCACTCACCTCCACCAGGAGCCTGGCATCTGTAGGGGAAATGCATATTTGAATCACATACTGATAGATTTGATGTAACATTATACATAATCATTTGCCTCATTCAGTCCTACATTTTCTCATGTGACAACTATAATCTGGTGTAATTAATTTGGATTTTGTAACCAGCCAAAAATAGTGCATAAGTGTAAACTGGACAGAAAGGGTTTCCATTTGCCAAATTTTCAAAGGTACAAAACAAAAAAACATTAATAATAATAAATATTAGGGTGTATTTTTATTCAGACCCAATGAGCCAATTCTGGAAGATCAGTAGGATCAGTCTTTTAGGCAGCGTTTCTACTAACTTGGAACATAAAGAACAGGAATTTTTGCCAATCTTGTTTTAAAAGAATCTATCTTAGACAAAGTAAGATTTAATGGCCAGCTTCTGAATTCGGGCCTCAGTTTCCAGCCTTACCACAAATAGCCAATTAGATTTAAGACTGACTTTTGATTAGATATTATCTAAATAATGTATACATCGTCTAAGACACATTTCCAATATTTTGATCTGGATTTTGAGTGGGCCATACCTGCACATAATATATATATAATCATCCGTCCCTCATAATTCTAACAACTCTGATCAGCTTCAGAAGGATCCCTACAGCCTGATGCTAAAAACCTTTTGTGTTGGGCATAATGTGTTCAGGTTTGCATATGGACAAGGTTTTCAAAGGTTCCCATGTATAAAAAACGTGGTGTGCACAAAATTGTTCTACTTGCAAGGTGCAAAATAAATTGTGTCTCTAGAATGACCAGAACATTAAATAGAAAATGAGCATTTGCCTTCATGAATGTGGCGATCATATGCTGATGACCTAAATGTACTGATTTTTTTTTTTACGAGGAGCTTATAAAAAGGTTAATTCTTACAGCTTACAAAGCAATTATTCAAAGCTGGAGCAGATTGCAAATAGTTTTCTCATTCATATCATATTTATCAGTTAGCAGCAAACTTGCAAATAGACATTTTTGTGGTCAAAAGGTGCACAGACACACAATAAAAGTCTTAGTGCATGTGAACATGTTTAAGATGTCAGATTTAATGATAGTGGAATGCTGTTAAAGAAAAAGATGCCAGAGCTGGAGAGATTAATGCAGCAGGAAGCTGCACAGAATTAAAATAAAAAATACTTAACTTGACAATTTAGGTATGTATATATGCTTTTAATATGTACAACATTTATCATGTGTTTTGTACATGAGTACATGTATTGTACTCTAGGGCTTTACATTAACAGCCCTTAGAGAAAAAAAGCCCTCAAGCATGGTGCTTGTAAAGGGGACTCCATCATGGACACCTGAAGGTGTATATCCCTATCCCATAGGCAAGGGCCTTTTTTTCTTCATCAGTGCTCCTCTGTCAGCTCCACATCTATCTTAGTCCGAACTTTCGGTTCTCTGGGTCAAGATCTTTCGCTTGTCAGGTGTATGAGTTAAGGCTAGATGACAAATCCGGTTTTCTGGGTTTTACAATCACTACTTAAATTTTAAATTTTTATCATTTTATTGTTACCCTTTTAAGGGTTTTTACTTTTTTTTGTTTAATTTTGTGATTCATATATGAAAGGTACACTATAAATATAATTCATTTTGTTACTATTTATTTTATTATAATTACGTCCAACTTTATGGCTTAGATATTAGTCTTTTTCTTAAGACCACCCTGGTCCCAACAGGGTTTCAATAGGGCAGCCCTGATCACTCGTACTCACTCGTTCCATAATAGGTATGCAACACACCCACTTACTTCACGTGCAATTCTTTTTTTTTTTTTTTTTTTACAATTTACCGCTC